ATTGTTCACTATCAAACGTTTAGGTGGCTGGTGGTTAATGCAAGGCATGTATGAAATACCGGCAAGTTTGCAGTTTGTAACTTTTTCAGGATGTTGGTTAGCATTTTAGGCCATAGATGGCATCCTTAAAGATCATCAAAAGGGAAAGAAAAATGAATTTGTACCACATCTCTATAAGGAAAAAAACAAAAGTAATGAAACAAACATAAGGCCTTAGAGTCCTTCGGCCAAAATTTTTTTATCAAGTCATCGGACTAAAAATTTGTCAAAATGAGTGCTCACATGGTAACAGTTAGCTTTTGAATTTTAGTTAAAAGGGATGTCTTGAAATTGTTGCTGGTACATCTCGGAGTTGGTGCAATTTAGTGGTCAAGTTTCGTCGAGAAGAAGAAATGCCTGGAGCAAAATTTTATACCAGACTTTGCAGATGTTTACGTGGTGTGACCCCTAAAAATTGGTGATGCGTGAAAGCCTTCTATTTGGCACACAGCTGCAGATTGTGTTGTTTTTTTGTAAACAAACCACGATTGATGAATGCCAGCGGCTGGATTGCAAGCGGCTGGGGCTCTTGGTCTTGAAGGACCTAGTGTTCTTTTTCTGTGCATTCACAGGCATAATTCAGATATACGTGAGGCAGGATAGAGCCATATGTTTCCAGGTTCAGTGGGGCCTTGTTTATGCTTGGTGGTTTCAAGTGAGCTCGGACTTGGACGACATCGAAAAACCTCTGAAAGGGAAATACGGGTTCAGTATGTGTGGTAAGGCAACATCAGGTAGGAGTGAAAATTGAACATAAAGTGTGAAGAAAGGAGTGAAAAATTCCTCCTCATAGGATATTGCTTTACACCCGAAGTCAGCAATTCTGGTTTGTTGCGTTACAGAGCAAACATTGCTTACATCGAAAGCATTCAACGCTTTAAGCTGTGCTTATGGTCATGAGTCAGCCGGGATTAAGAGGCTATATAGATTTGGTAACCATAGGAGAGGCTACCTTGCATATTTTACCTGAACAGTTGTGCGCTGTTGTTTGGTTCTCCCGGCCGAGGAGCATTGTGATGTCATGATGTGTGAGCATTATCATTATTGTGATGTCATACCGCACGTAGATGTTTCGTACAGCGAGGCCGTAGACTGAGTGGGTTTCAGCTAAAATCAGACACGGTTTAACCTTGAACGTCTCGGCTTGTCCAGGCCTAGCACGAGTGTAAAGCTGCATCCATAGCTCGTGCTTGTAACTCAAAATCCGTCCACGGGCACTTCTTGACCATAGTTTGTGCACGTGTTGTACTTAATATATAGACCTTGCATGTGTACATTCAACACATTTACGGAAAGAGCAGAAAACAGGAAACCATCTGAAAGGTTGATCTTTGCAAAAGCCTAATGTAACAGATCTACGTTGCTGCTTGAGTGCAGACAAAAATAATTTTGTCGGCGCTAGTTCTATGAATGCCTTGGCGGATTTATCAACGGGGTCCTGCAAAATCATGTCGTGCCTCTGTAAGGAAGTTGCTGATTCCGTGCGTCAGTCTCAGCTTATGTGTCATATGGGAAACAGTACGTGGAGGGAGAATTGCAGCGAAAGTGGAGGGAAAATTGTCCTTGCTTCACATATTTTCTTGTGATAGGAAAAACAGATTACTGAAGGAAACTTTCCCATTGTTGCTGGACAATAACCCCAATCAGATGAAACGCCTGTCAGGCGTTGGCAAAAATAGCATTTGACAGTTAGGAAGCCTTGCAGCAGCCTGTGATAAATCACAAGTTTTTGCGAGGCCATTGAAGTAATATTCACTTCTGTGGTTAATGGATGCGAAATGTGCAATCCGCGAACTGTGATGCTCTGTGACTTTCCTCACTTGACAGAGGCTTACTCGGTGGCACCATTGGCGGGAAGGGTGGTAGGCACTCTTTGCCCTCTAGCCCCAAACGGACATGTGAAACAAAAACTGTTGGATGGCCCAAAGTCTCAAGATATTATTATATATGACCCTATCTCGCGATGGTAGTCGGTGACCTTGCGAGAGCAGCCGGCGAACTTGTGGGGTCAGCCGATGCCCCTGTGAGAGCAGCTGGTGACCCTGTCAGAGGAGCCCATGACCCTGCGAGAGCATCCGGTGACCCTCCATATGATGTGTATGATAATGCTTGAGGACAGTAACACAACGTCGCAAAATCACAACTGCTCGGAGGCTAAAACGTCATGTGTCAAATCGCATGCAATAACACGATTTATTTCATTGTTAAAGGCTTAGAAAGTGTTTTCTACTCAGGCAAAAGTTTCCCTTTGGCGTCCTCGTGATCAGGCTAAATTTTTGGCTTCAATGCTTCCGCAAACCTCCGTCAACCTGAATGGCTCATTCACACCAGATCTTTTCCAGGGCGTCGGATCATGGCACACATGCATAGCCCCAGGCTATAAACCGTGCATCTATCCGCGTCATACTTCTGCTGAATGCGTCATTATTTTCGAAAACTATCGGCGTTGCACAGCAAGGCAAGCTGATTTCGCCCGTCTCCCGTATCGGCAATCTGGGCGGTCCGCAATCGGTTTGGTCACCTGTTTTGGATGCCTAGCGCGTGACTTGTTTTTATCACATTTTGTTGATGATTACTGGAGGCTTAGAGATTGTAGCTTTTTGTAGGCCCAAATATTCAAGACGATATAATTATACATTTCTCATTAGGTATGATGTATTTTTTTCGGCGACCAAGCCTTCCCAAATATAAATATTGGCACCCATCGGCACGCGCTACACGTAACATTTTTTCCCAAGACATCCCCTGCCTTTGGCGCACGCCCGATTCGTTGTGCTGATGATGCTTTGTATTAAAAAATACCCTACGTGAGCACACTGTTCTTTTTGCCCAGAGGACGTGCCTGCCATTTCTCACGTGCCTGGTCACTTGCCTTTTTGACGATGCAAAGGCAACACATGCGTGTTATTCGGAATACGTATTTGGAATATGTACTTTATGTGCTGTCTGTGGCTGGATAAGATCCAAACCCGGTTATTGAAAGACCTGTTGAAGATTTTGTGGCTGAACTATGTTGGGACAAACCAAACGGGTATGCCGCATCACAAGGAAAGATATGTTGCATGCTTTCTGAACCAGATATTTCAGCTGATATATTCCGCTGCATGGTGTCCTCCAGACTAACTAAAACGCGTGAGCAGCTGTTGAAGCTGAATGGTTGCTGTGGGTGGCGCTTGATAAATGTCCGAAATATAAGATGTTCATGAACTGCATTTAGACATTTTGTGTTCATTACGACTGCAATGCGAGAACGGACTATTGCGGACAATTTTGGACAGAGCAATTAATTGCATGTACATAATCCGTCCAAATACCTCATGAAGATAGGCTGCCTATTTATCTTCCTGTCCACCCTGCCGCGGTGGGGGGGGGGGGGGGGGGGTCCGGTCGTTTCAGGCGCTCTCCCCTTTGTTATTGACGGGCACGGCCTGTGGACAGTGGACGGTGGAAGAAGGGCCGGTCTAACAAACCGCTGACCTCTAACGGTCACGCTAGAGGTCAAATGACGTCAGAGGGCAGGACGGACCGTGCTCCGCGTTGTCGCACGTTCAACTTTCGCCACGGACTCTGCCGTTGACCTGGAGTTGCGCGACCAGATGGCAGGGGTCAGGGCTCGCACAGGGAGCACTACTTTAAGTGGGCTTTGATCCCGGGAAACCTTTCAGCTAAAGGGATCGGATTTAATCTACAAAACAATGGGACTGACCCGCACTCTGGTAGGGGTGGATTGCAAAAAGTTGCGCCCTCTGCCATACGGTTTTCAGGGAATATCTCTCTGGCATGTTGTGCAATCGAGATCAAATTTTCAGTAGCATATGCTCCGAAAGTAGAGAAACTAAGAACGCATTTGTTGTGTCCAAAGACGCACGTTGAGTGCTCTGTAGGCTGCTGAAATTTTGGGCGCAATTGCACAGCATGCCGTAGAGGCATCCTAAAAATCCCCAGAGTTATATCAACCTATCAGGGTGAGGGTTAAACCGTATTGCATACAGAGTTCTAAAAAAGGTGACTTGGTGACCTGACTAGACTTTCCCTTGACGAACCAGATTGGGTCAAGTAACGAAAAATTCGATTAGCTATAGCTAGCACGAAAAGCTGGCCTGGCCTAGCACTAACAGTCCTTTTTTGTCACCTCTAGCCTTATGGAGAAACGCTTTACTAAAAACCTGCCCTGACATCACTGGACACCACCAATGTACTTACATCCCGGGCCCTGCCACACTCGAAACACTCAAACTCTATCACAATCTGTTTCAACTGATATGTTCGCCTCCCGTTCTGTGCTGCTGTGATTCAAGAATCCTCCCAGTCATACCTAACGCTCAGAATGTGCTGAACTCATCGCATGCGTGCCTTCTACCCAGTCAGACTCCAGGCATATGAAATAGATTCGCGAAAATGCTGACAATATATTACAAACATTCACTCAGTACAGGACAAAGGCGAAAGGCCACATGTCATCGCAGGCCAAGCACGTGACGGTGTCTCCCCCGCGATGGTAACCTGTGACGAAAGACAGTGACACGCCGGACTACTTCCAGCACACAGAAGACGCGGGGACACGACATTGGTCACGCACAACAGGAGACGTCTACACGGCAGCGGCTGATCACCAGAGCGCGTGGACGGCTTGAGCTGCTACTGACGGAGGACGAATTAATACTGCAGGCATTGAATGTGATGGCAGACAAAGTCCATGCACACCACAGTTCCAGGCGTTTTCTTTGGTCCAGTATTGTCCACGCTCACAGCTAATCGTAGCTGTTGCCGTAGCTGTAGCTAGAGCTTCCTCTGTAGGGAGTGCTGGGTCCATACACGGCGCGACCACGGTAGCCTGAGCTGCCACCGTAGCCGTAGCCAGACCCGTAGCCGGAACCGTAGCCGGAGCCATAGCCAGACCCGTAGCCGGAACTGTAGCCGGAGCCATAGCCAGACCCGTAGCCGGACCCGTAGCCGGAGCCTTAGCCAGACCCGTAGCCGGACCCGTAGCCGGACCCGTAGCCTGACCTGTAGCCGGACCCGGAGCCAGATCCGTAGCTGGAGCCGTAGCCGGAGCCATAGCCGGACCCGTATCCGGATCCATAACCGTAGCTATTCCCATAGCCGGTGCCGTAACCGGAGCCGTAGCCAGAGCCGTAGCCGGAGCCGTAGCCGGAGCCGTAGCCGGAGCGGGACCCGTAACCAGAACTGTATCCGTATCCGGAGCCATAACCGCGCGCATTACCGTACCCGGAGCCGTAATAGCTAGGACCGTAGGTGCGTCGATACGAGTAGCCGTAGCCGTTCCTGGGGTTATAGTTGTAACTGGGGTATGAGTAATAGTTGTAGCTGTTTGTTGGGTAGTAATTACTGTAACTTTTACTTGGATAGTAGTTGCTGTAGCTACGGGCGTAGCCCCTGCCATATGACGGATAGTAGCTGTAGCTGTTCGTGGGGTAGTAGTTTCCTGTTCTGTAGCCAACACCATAGCCATTTCCGTACCCCCGGCCATAGTTCTGTCTGTAACCCTGGGCGTAGCCATTGCCATATCCTCCGCCGCTGCTGTAGCCGTACGGGTAGGTGGCGTAGTTGAAAGTGGGGTAGCTATGGCTGTAGCGCGGGTAGTAGTCATAGCTGAACCCAGGAGAGTAGTAATTACTAAAAGCTCGAGCGTAGTAATTGAAGAAGGCATGGGCCTTGGATTTACCGTAGGCCAGGGCCATTCTTTTCAGGAGGGAGTAATAATAGCTACTGCGCCCACCCAAGAATCCACCCATTCTTCCACCGCCGAATAATCCTCCACGGCCAAGAGCGCCACGGAATCCTCCTACCTGTCGACCTCCAGAGAGTCTAAATCCACCGCCTCCTCCGCCGAATAATCCGCCGCCTCCTCCACCGCCGCCGAAGAAGTTACCGCCGCCTCGATTACCAAGGAATACAAATTGGCGCCGGCCGGGAGAGAAGAATCTTCTTCTGAGAGATGGTCCAAGGACACGGGTGTTGAAGAATGCCCTTCTTCTGAAAAAGGTTCTGCCCACGTTGAATACTCTTGGACCAGCGCCCACAAATCCTCCACCGCCGCCGCCGCCACCACCGCCGCCGCCGCCGCCGCCGCCGACGACGAACCCTCCTCCGAATGCTCCACCTCCTCCGCCGAGTCCCACAGCTGCACCACCAGCCTGTCCAACGCCGAAATCGCCGCCGAATCCACCGCCGGCGCCACCTAAAACGCCGGTGAAGCCGCCACCGCCGGGCGCGAACGCTCCGCCTCCGCCGCCAGTAAACCCTCCGGCGGAGAGTGCCGTGCCTCCAAAGTCGCCACCGCCGCCGCCTGCGCCTCCGAACGCAGCGAAAGCTCCGCCGCCGCCGCCGCCGCCTCCTCCTACGTCTCCGAAACCGGTGAAATCTCCACCGCCGTCGCCTCCGAATGAAGAGAAATCTCCGTCGAAGTCGCCACCGGTGCCGAACGAGCAGTCGTCGTCGTCATCATCACAGTCGTCGTCAGCGGCGGCCAGCGCCACTAGGACGACGATCAGCAACCACTGCCGACGGAGGGCGAGTGTCACCAGAGGCTGGTACTGTTTTAGAGAGTGCAAGAGGCAGGTAAGCACGTTTCGGATGCGGTAAGTGGTAGTCAGAGAACCTTGAAACTAAGGAAGTTATAACACAACGCGGCCTGATGGTTGTAAGAGGTGAGTGCTCATGGCTTGAGGGTGGTTCAAAGTATACGAACACAGGTAAGTTTTTAAGTGGTTAGTGACATTGGCTTTGAGGTCGCTATTGAAAAGCGAACACGTTGGAAGTTTGGTACATGAGAAGAGGCCAGCGTGACGTTACTAGGTGTGTGAAGAGGGTACAGTTGTATATGAACATGGTTGCAACGTGATAATGTTACGCTATAAGCATAGTGCGAATGAAGAGGGCTTAGTGGCAAGTGAATACAACTAATGCGCGATTATCACTCGAATACCAACAAAATGGGTGGCTGGGAAGTGAGTATGGCTGGATGCTACCTAGCTGGGGTAAGTACAAACTGTCAAATTTCAGGTTTGATACATCAATTAGTGTGTCAGGGAGACAAATGGGCGAACAGACGGAGCATTTGGACGGGCAGCGTCTGTCTCAGGGACAGGGACCCACTTCGCAAAGGGCCAACGACTGCGGAAGAGGGGAAGGGCTTCAAGCAGCCCAAGTTAGGAAGGCGAATTATGTCAAACAGACAAGGAGTGAGAGATTGGGCCAAAACGTAGGCCGATTACAGAAATGAAGATACTGTGTCAAGCACACACCGGACAAGACTTTTGACTGTTGGGCTGCAAGCGATTAGTTACAGTTAAGCGTTGAGAAAGCTATGAAAGCTGGCCTCATCGCGGCGGAACATGGTGCCGGCATCTCGGAAAAGTCGCCGGAGAACACAATGTGAAAGAAGCAGGGGTGTCCAACAAGAGGCACCGAAGCTGGCGTTCGTAAGAGGTGGTATTCCCCAGGTTCGTTTGCTCGTGTTGGCCGATATGCACACAGCGCCTGGTATTGATAAGGTCTGCAAGAGACAAGCGCCTGGTAAACAGATGGTGGGCACAGAACACCGCCCCCAGGAACCATACGAAATGCCCGCCATTCTCCAGAGCTAACCAGCCCAGTTGGGCCCAATTTCCCGACAATCGTTGGCAGTGATGCACATCTGAAGGCGCCGCGCTGTCCGCTCGCTCCACTTAACTTTTCGGCTGTTTTGCTATCGACCAGCACGGGGCGAGCAGCAGACCAGCGCGGCGCCTGCACCCTGCTCGGCGCACGGTCCCGACGCCGCGCACAGCACTCACCTTCATGTCTGGGCCCGAAGCTGGCCGACCGGGGAGTGATATCTGTCAGCTGAGCTCGGCCTCATTTATAGAGCGGCAATCGTCAGGCAGCCACCGTGCTGCACCAGATGACGTTTTCCGTGTCCGTCTCGCCGGCGCTGCCCTGTTTTCCGCCGGGATCACGGCGGGCGGGGAGGCTGCGTGAGCGGAGCGTGTTCCCAGGGCGCAGACGACGAGATTTTCCCCGACTTCTTTCCTTTGTTAGATGGCGGATTGTTATCGTGGATTTCTATCTTGGTTCGATCTCCGCCCAAGATCGCGGTTCGGTAGGGGGAACTGAGCTGTGGTAAGAACTTTTCTTTTTGTTGACAGCGTGACTGAGTCTGTGATGTGATGTTCGCCAGTTTAAACGCGGGTGGGATGGTCACGACATGTTCTTCGCTGTTGTTTTCGGCGACATGCGAAGCCCAGGCTCACAACTTGGGCGACGAAACTCAGATGGGAGAGCAACACGTTCTCAGGCGGACTAGTCCTACACGTGAAAATCATGCCCATTTTGATAAAATCTTGGTCAAGCATGACCACTCATTGAACACGGGAACACGGTATAAGGACTTCAGTCCGTAGACAATATTACCAACCAAGAAAGATCGGTTGATCGATCATTTGGTATCCATAGTATCATGGAGGGCGCTTAGTATCCACTTAAGTGGCACCATTCACATGATATGAACGGTGCTCTACTCTGCATCACGTGAGCACACTAATGCCTCAGGGTCGCCCGATTCTAGTCAGTGATCTATGATATTTGACAGGCGGCACAAGATTCTGAGAACAAGGGTGCCACAAAGCCTTGTGATCTCCAGCCTTACTACCTGGGTCATGGGGAAAATGTCAAGAATGCAGGGTCTCGATTGCACGTGACGGGCACAATGTGATGACTGCGCTGCTAAGTTATCGCGACTGCGGGAGCATTTTCCGCCGCATTCAACGTGTTGCACTAAATACTTGAACAGGACTATTTGATCATTGGGTCTTTGACGCAACTATTGTAATGTTCCCGCGATGTACCAACTTTGAAGGCGTTTGACGAGAGAGAGCGCTTGCGATGATGTGGTCCAAATATTATCGACGCCCGCCTTGATTCCGCGCGCTCCTTTTGTGATATCGTGCCATTAAATTAATCAGACCGTCCAGATAGCTCACTAGGTTAGAGCACCTGCTTTCCGATCCACCCACCCGTGGCGGGGTGGGTTCGCGTCGCTTCAGTCGCTCGCTACTTGTCCTTGAGTGGTATGGCCTGCGTCTGGTGGCAGCGCCCACGCTAAAGGTCAGGTGACGTCAGAGACTAGGACGGACCGTGCCGAGCATTTTGAGATATTGTGTTTCTGTCAGGCCTGCAGCAGTGCGTACTTTTGAATCTGCTTCTTATTACTTAGCGTACCTAATACTTCAATCATGTTTCTAATCACTTTGTTGTTGATGCGTGTAAACAATCTTCTTGATGAGTTGCATATGGAAGCAATGTAAAACTACAACAAACGGAATGTCGTCTGCTTTTCTCCACCAAAGAGTTCCATGTTTTGCGTGATCTACTTGCACTTGAAGCAAGTAAAACATGCGACGGAAGCGTAGGTTTCAACTACGTGGACGGGCTTTTTTGTCATATTCTCCAGGAACGGGGGTCTCGCAGGCCTCCTCAACATTGTCAACAGATGTTCGCGTACTAGACCAACATGCCTGCGCACGTAGCAGAACTCTGCGCTGTAACTTAAGGACCACACGGCATTCTTCATGGATCATCGGCCTTGAAGTCCATGATCCATGTTCCGTACATGCACATTTGACACGCGCTCGGGTGGAAGGGGTCAATTTGCCCTCCTAAGGTTTTTCAAAATATCTTTCTAACGGCGGGGTGTATCCACGTAAAACTTAGAATAGCTCTAAGAAATTAAATAGTGGGTCTTTTGATATACAACAATGAGATGTATCTCGCGAGGTCACTGACCTAAGGTGGCTCAAAGTCAGGTCGTGGGTGTCAGTGAAGACAATTTTTTTCAGTAAAACGTGTCATCAGTACGCGACGATGGGATGTTAGATGAAAGCATACATCTCCGAAATGTCTTCTATGGGAATAAAATCATTGAATTTAGGATAACAACAAATCGCGTTGATCTAGGGATAGAAAGAAATAGAAAAATAGAAGAAAAAATAATAGAAAAAAGTTCAGACCTAGGTAAAAAACAGCCAGCTTTTCACTGGACAGCTTCTTTTACGAGGTAAATAATAAAGCATACTTTAAAATTATTAATAAGCAAACCGCTACAGACATGTTTATATGAATTTCTTAAAGACTGCAATAGGCCACTGACATTAAGTGATCCATAGAAATCCTTTCTTTTGAGGAACGTATCGTCTAGTGTAATTCTTAACGCTTATTGAAGTGAAAAACAACAATGTCATAGGTATTTGGCCACCATAACCTTTAAAGCTCAAACAGCTTTACTTACGTAAAATGAACACCGGCGACGGTTTGCGTAGACCAGGTATCTAGGTTCAAGGTGGCTGCATGAAGAGGTCTGGGGTCATTTGGACAGCACTTGTCGGTTCGATGTTGCTTTATGTTATTCGACCCGGAGATCATGATTCACTGACCTCGGATTTTGATGCGAGTCAGTTCAGTTCAGTTCACATACAGACCAACTAACCCACCCAGTGAATTTGATGTATCTAGCCCTCCTTTTTAGATCTAGATTCTTTTTTAGATTTTAGATTAGGCAGGGGTCAAATTAACCCCCATCCCCACCCGAGCGGAGGGCATTCAACCGACCACCCGGGCGCGTGCTAAATATTGATCATTCGCTGCTACAAAAACGTTATTGTTATGCTCCGGTTGAAAGAGATAACGATGCCAACGTGCCCGA